AAAATATAATATATCTACCTCGTTAAATTATATAGTGTTATGATATTTTAAAAGAATTGTAGTTATCTAATCAAAAGATGTTTACCATTAAATTTATTTTAAGTTTTTAATATCTCTTAAAATATGCAGTAAAAATGTGATTGTTTTTGAGAAATTATATTATACAAGTAAAATATAATTTATATTTTTTTTGCTATAACGGTAAGATATTATAATCAAATAAATATACTAATTATAATTTTTTTGTCAATTAAACATATATCAGTTTATGTTACTTAATTATTTTATGTAATCATCTAAATAAATAGATAGATATATACAAAAACTAATTACTTTGAAAATATATATTTTATTGTTTAAATTATTTTTTTAAAGAAAAAATATTTTTTTTCTAATATCAAGATTATTTGTATGAATTTTTCTTATGAAAACACATTATATACAAATATTTTTTTCATCTAAGAAGATATAGATATAAAGTATAATTACTTTAAAAGTATAATTTATGTTATTTAAAAATATATTTAAATTAAATATTACTATTTTGTAAACTTTTTTTTTTATGAAACCATATTATATATATACTTATTTTTCGTTTTTAAATAGTTTTGTAAATTTTAGAAATTCTTCCTTTTTGTTTTATATTGTTATTTGGAAGATTTTAAAAAGGAAATAATAATATTTAAATATATTTTTAATTCATTAGGGGTATCATAGTAATCAACCAGTGTGAGAGTTAACGTGAGCGCGACACCTAAGAAAGTGACTTCTCAAATAATATTATAGAGATACGTTAATTATAATGAGGTCGTCAGTGTTGGAAATATTGAAAAAAAATTATGAATAAATTAACACACGTATCAACAAAATAGTATCAAAAGATTATGAGATTTCGATGTTAATTGAATAAAGTCAGTAGAAAAGAACACATGTAAATGTTGGAAATAAGAGTATGAGAAAACTTTATAAATAAACTGACATCTGTTCTTAATATATTAATGCCAATCTATAAAAGGAAAAAAATCTTGATTAAAATCATATCCCAATATACACATGGTAATGAGATGTTGGCTGAAAAAAATGAGGGGAGGAATAGATAGAATTACATAAATATTTGGATATATAATATATTGATGCCAGATGGTTAAAAGTTAAAACTAAGAGTGCACACCTGTTAACAGGCCGTTGATTGAACTAAATTCAAGTTTAGAATTTTTTTTTCTTTTGTAACTTAATTCAAGTTTAGAATTTCTCTACAGAAACATTACCAATTAGAAAATATTGAATAGGAAGTATTGAATACAAAATATAATACACTCTATATTCATCCAAATACGTTTCGACTTTCTCAGTTTTTGAATTTAGACAAGTATGGTTTTTGTCTTTGAAACTAAACACGTATGTTTTTTTTTTCCAATTTATCTAAGATATCAGTGAAATATAATAATAATTAAAAAAAGGTGTTGATATTAGATTTCATCACCTTTTATGGAAGAAAATTACCAAGATAAGATTGAAAAGTGATCATACTTTACAATGACATGTATGCAGAAGAAAAAGATACTCCACACCAAAACTGAATCTTAAACTTCTTATAAATTTGCAAGAAGACAAGAGCAATCTTCTCACACTCACCATCACATAATCTGCAACTTCTCTGGTAAACAAACACACATACATTGCTAACAGTTTTACCCATTTATCATATAAAATTTGTTTATAAATCTTCATGGTTGTTTACCAAAAATAATATTTATAAAAACTGTGTTTAATTGTTTATTTTAGCAAAATGTAATTTTTAATTATTTTATCGCTATTATATATTTTATTTAGTTGTTCAGATTTCTGTTCATGAAAAAGCTTGTTTTATTGTATAATTAATTTATTTTCCACGAAAATTGGACAGGTCGTTAATTAGTTTGACAAGTGCGTTACGAATCTTGAAAGAAAATGGTGTCTTATGAATCATGTGAGAAAAAGCAAAGACTGCTTGTGGTGGCTAACCGGCTTCCGGTTTCTGCAAAGAGAACCGGAGAAAATTCTTGGTCTCTGGCAATCAGTCCTGGTGGTTTAGTCAGTGGTCTTCTAGGTAAGATCAGAATCTATATAAATAAATATTAAAACAAAAAAAAAGAGTTCTAACAATAATTGTTTATTGGTGTGATCTCGTGAAGGCGTGGCAGCTGAATTCGAGACCAAATGGGTTGGTTGGCCTGGAGTTGATGTGTATGATGTAGCTGGCAAAAACGCACTTTCGAAATCTCTAGCCGAGATGGTACGTATTTGAAACTAATTGGGTTATATCAAAGTAAATGTTAGAACTTTTCATATATCTGATGATCAAATCTCAATTAATTTATTGTTTGTGTTTTGTTTTTGCTACTTACAGGAATGTATACCAGTGTACCTTGAAGAGGTTTTTGATCAATACTACAATGGGTATTGCAATGGTATTTTGTGGCCAATTCTTCATCACGTGGAGTTTCCACAAGAAGATCATAATGACAGAAACAAAACATACCAAACACAATACGATGCCTATAAGAAAGCAAACAGAATGTTTCTTGATGTCATAATTGAGAACTATGAAGAAGGAGATTTTGTTTGGATCCATGATTACCATCTCATGTTTCTTCCTCAGTATCTTAAAGAATACAACAAAAATATCAAAGTAGGATGGTTTCTCCATTCACCATTTCCTTCTTCAGAGGTCTTCAAAACCTTGCCCTCGCGATCAGAGCTTCTTCGCTCCGTTCTTGCAGCTGATTTACTTGGGTAACATCCAAACTCCAAATGTCATATATGGTTAGGAATCATTTGACTTGGATCCAAAGAGTTTTAAAATATCTTTATGGTTATTTTCAGTTTCCATACGTATGATTTTGAAAGCCATTTTGTGAGTACATGCACTCGAATCCTTGGAGTTGAAAGAACACATGAAGGAATTGTGGATCATGGCAAAGTCACTCGAGTAGCTGTTGTATGTCTCAATTTTCAAATCTTTAACATGATACTGTTTTTAAAAATTATATTGTTTATCTATAACTTGAATCATCACATCATCAAAGTAATCTTTTCTTTTTGGAATTTTCAGTTTCCCATTGGAATAGATCCTAATAGGTTTATAAAAGCATGTGAGCTCCCTGAAGTCAGACAACAAATGACTGAGCTTAAAGAGAGATTTGCTGGCAAAAAGGTAACACATTTTTCTTATAGCCTTTTATTTGATGCTTTATTTAAAAGAAAATATTTTTTTTACATTTTTTTGTTTTTTTTTTGTGTTGACAGGTGATATTAGGTGTTGATCGTCTTGACATGATCAAAGGGATTCCACATAAGTATCTTGGATTTGAGAAATTTCTTGAAGAAAATCCAGATTGGCGCGATAAAGTTGTCCTTGTGCAAATTGCAGTGCCAACAAGAAATGATGTCCCTGAATGTAAAAACTTTTTTAGTCTTCTATGCATCTAAATATGCATAGTTTTTCTGATATTATGCTTTATTTTACAGATCAGAAGGTCAAGGACCAAGTTCATGGACTCGTTGGACGCGTTAACGGTCGTTTTGGTTCTGTCTCTTCTCTTCCTATCCATCACCTGGATTGTTCTGTAGACTTCAACTTCTTATGTGCACTTTACGCGATTGCTGGTAATTAATTTCATTTACTACACACATATGATTACTGATTTGGTTACAGTTATTTATATAAGTTGTTTGATGGGTTTTTTTTTTCTTATTTTGTTAGATGTAATGCTTGTAACATCATTAAGGGATGGAATGAATCTTGTGAGTTATGAATTCATTGCTTGTCAAGAAACGAAAAACGGAGTTCTTGTTCTCAGTGAGGTAACAAAAGTATTTGCATTTTTCATTTATTAGCATTGAGAATCTTAAACGTCTTAATAATGTTTGTAGTTATTGACTTTACATGGGATTTTATACAGTTTGCTGGAGCTGCACAGTCACTTGGTGCTGGAGCTATTCTTGTGAATCCTCGGGATGTTACAAAAGTTTCTTCTGCTATTAAAGAAGCTCTTATTATGCCAGCTGAAGAAAGGGATGAAAGACATAGAGTTAATTTTCAGTATGTGAAAATTCATACTGCTAAAAAGTGGGGAGATGATTTCATAAGGTATACTGAAATAATTAAGAAGATACTTTTAGTTTTCTTCAGAACATGAACTCTTGTAAGTAAGAGCTTATTTATTATTAACTCTATGCAGTGAACTCCATGCTACTTTTTCTGAATCCAATATGAAGATTAAGAAAATCCCACTTGGACTTCCACAGCAAGATGTGGTTCAACGATATTCGAAGTCTAACAATAGACTGATAATCCTGGTAAAGCTAGCTTGGGTGATTTTATGTTGTATATCTAGAATTTTATATCTCTCCGTTATGTTTATTTTATTAATTTTATACAGGGTTTCTTTGGAACACTCACTGAGCCAATGAATAATCAAAATGAAGAACTGGATGTTCGACTAAACCCAGAGCTAGAGGAAACACTAAAAGCATTATGCAATGATCCAAAAACAACAGTTGTTGTATTGAGCAGAAGTGGCAGAAACATATTAGATAAAGTAATTAATACTTGTCTTCTTCTTTTCATATCTTTGTTTACTATCTCACATGCATTTGTATCGATAATCTTACTGATTTGGATATTTAAAACCAGATCTTTGGAGAGTATAACATATGGCTGGCTGCGGAAAATGGAATGTTCATGAGGGACACCACTGGAGAATGGGTGACAAATATTCCTAAAAACCTGAACCTCGATTGGGTAGATGATACAAAGGTAGCTACTAGCTAGTAATTTACATTCTTTGAAAGAACTCAAGCTTGGTGGTATTTTATTTATATCTTTTTGATAACTTTATATATTTTTCTAGAATGTTTTCAAGTACTTCACCGATCGAACTCCAAGATCGTTCTTCGAAGAAAGCGAGACTTCTCTAGTATGGAATTATGAATATGCAGGTGATGTAAAATATATAGTTTCTTTGCCTCTTTTTGCTTCTAAAAATTTATCTCTTTTGTTAAAATTTGCATCTTGGAACTCCTTAACAGATGTTAAGTTTGGGAGAGCACAAGCAAGAGACTTGTTACAATACTTACGGGCAAGACCAATCTCTAATTCATCAGTTGATGTTGTTGAAGGCAACCATTCTGTTGAAGTCCATGCTATGGGTGAGACTAAGGTAACTATTTTTTTATTTGAGGTATTTAAGCCATATAATATACAAAATTCATTAAATGTATAATACTGGTGCAAAATGTTTTTTCTTTAACATCTTTAGTACAAAATGGTCATTCAATTTTTTGCTATTACATAGGGGGTAGCAGTGGATCATATTTTGGAAGAAATAGTGCGCAAAAAATCTATGGCTACACCAATTGATTTTGTCTTTTGTAGTGGTTACTTCTTGGAGAAGGTAAAACTTATATTTATATATTGTACATTGCATAGTTAACCAATACCTGTAATCCATTTGATTTTTTGATCTTTTGAAAAAATGGGTCGATATATTTTACAGGACGAAGACATATTCACGTTCTTTAAATCAGAAATCGTGTCATCAAGAGTATGTCAAGAAACTAGGTCGAAGTCATTTTCAAGTAACCATTCTATAAAGAAGAAGAATCTTTCATCGAACTTTCTTGACCTCAAGAAAGGAAATTACTTCTCTGTAGCAATTGGAAAAGCTCACACAAAAGCTCGCTACGTCGTTGACTCATCTCATGATGTTGTGGATGTACTCCACAAGCTCGCAGATGCAGATATAACAGCCGCAACAACTGACTCATTTTCTTATAGCGAAGTTTATCAGAATGCAAACACAGATTCCAAACTCTGGATAGATTCTATCAACAAGGAACTGGCACTGGGAGACACTGAGCTAATCGATATGTAAAAATCATCTGACAATGATACAGAAGGCTAGTGTCTGCATTTTACTGTTCATGTGGTCTTTATTAGGTTTGGAATTTAAATATTATCTATCAGTGATCTAATTTTACTGGGTCATCTTGTTTACTTAAAAAAAAATAATGTATAAATCAATAAGATTATATCATCGTTCTTTTGTGGCAAAATAAAAGTGCACTGATGTTTTTTAAAGTTGATTTATTAATAAGTGATATTACAATTATAAGAAAATTACATAGATGATTTGACAACCGATAATATTAAATGTCTTATAATGATTATCTACGCCTAACTGCATCACCTAAAACGTCCTATGAAGATTTACGTCTGACCGAATTTACTTGTACTATATTAAAAATCTTTTGTAAGTATTTCTTTCATAATCCGTATAATTGTTTAATAAATTGATTTGCCCGATATTAAAATCTAAATCTCTTGATGTAGAATCACTAATGAACACTTAAATTACTAGATTTCAGTGATTTCTTGGTATAAAAACATTAAGTGCACCTTTCTTAGATCTTAAATTTTTAGTACTAGGGCCGGCCCGCCCTACGGGCGGGATGTAAATTATGAAATTATTTTTAATAGTTTTAGATTATAGTATTAAATATTGTATAAGTTTTTAATGTTTTTTACAATTGGTGTTTGTGAGGCATGTTTGCGAGTCTGATATGTGTCGACATGTCGTTGGTTTAAAAATACGGATCTTTGAACAAAATAAAAAGTGTTTAGGGCGGAGCCCCGCGCAAGCGCGGAGATGTTGACAATTATATATGTCTTAATATTTTGAAAATGTTATAGGAAGTGTTTTAGAGGGTCTCGTCAAAGCAGGATGGATGGTTCATAATTCAAAACGGTGATGCTATTTTTTGGAGCACTTGTATTACTTCCTGTAGTAAAACTATTATATCTCAGAGGTTTTGCTTCTATAGTACTTGAACATGAATGTATTATGTTGGTGAAGATGAATGATCATGAGTTCTACAATATAGCTGTTGAAGGCAACATTAGATTTTGACTCCAAGTAAGGTGGCCGCTACATTTATATTTACAAAGTAATGGGACGTATGAATTTGTAATTGACCCTACAAGTGTTCTTTTCATTGAGGTTGATGTGTTGTCAAAGTAATGGGACGTATCAATTTGTACTGCATGATAAAATGAAGTGCATAAGTGGACAGCATAAACTCTAATACTCGTTAACATTCCCCATAATTTAATCAAAAAGTAAATACTAACTCCAGTAGGTGAGAGTTTAATAAGAAAACTCAGAAATTGAAAAATTTAGCAATTTAGAAAAGTGAAAACGCAAGAAAGCTAAGTGGGATTGATGGTTTGCTGGACTTGTTGTACCAAGGGGGCGCTTGCGACTCTTCTCTTTCTCAACCAAGCTTGGTGGATTTGCTTCATCAACGTCCATGGCGTTGTTGGGAGAATCCCAGTCTTGGTAGCAGATGATGGTGCTTGTTCTGGTTGGAGATCTCCCCTTAGAGCCTTTTCAGCCTCGGGTTTCTGTAAGAAAAAAAGACAGTCAAGGTTTAATTGTTATTATACTGTTAAATCAAGTTAAAGGTAAGATGAGACAACCTCGGATGTGGTCAAGGAAGACATCTTCAGTGATTGCAGACACAATGAAGGTACGGTGGTCGGAGGTGAAATTGAAGGGAGTGTGACATATGTGGAGCACATCTTGATTACCATCTAGAAGCAGGAGGATTAGAAAAAGGCCAGTTAGTTGATATATATATTCCTGTCCGATGCAAGATACTCGTAGCTCGGTTCCAGCTACTTGATCAACTTTTTCATCAACAAATTCACTGACTTTGTATATAACAGCGCCCAAATGGTCAACTGTATTCACCAGAGCCTTTATCATATAATCTTTTGGTGTCTCCACGACTATGCATACACACGTATAAGCTTTATAAGTAAATAAAAAGTCTAATAACAATTAAGAGGAATAAAGTTTCACTGAAAACTGTGTGTTTCCATCGTTTGTGTAGGATAGTTCGAAGTACATAGCTGCTGAATACAGCTGTGTGCTCAGATTCTTCAGTTCCTGCAAAACAAAGATGTCATACTAATAAACCTCTTCTTGTTGATACTCAGACTGATTCGTTGAAACATGGAAAAAAATTAGAATTGATCAGTCACAAGTCTTGTGAAAATTACTCAGTTTCAAGATTTGTGAATATTACCTTAAGACTATCAGAGAAGAGCAGACTATTGCACAGAGATTTCATCGTAGTTTGAGCCTTCTCGAGGCATGTGCATTTTAGCCGCTGCACTTATTTTGATTCGAAGGTTAGCTAACAATGGAGTCTTTAAAGCACAGAAGAAGGTTTGGACTTTAGACCTTCAACGCCAGTATACTGTTTTTTGGTTAATAATGGGCGTGTAACATAATGAAGAAAATTAACCGCAAATAAAATATATCAGTTTTCTTAATGAACAAAAAGAACTGAGAATTTGGATAAGATCATACTCACATGATCGATCTGCCGTGTTGCTTGTCGTCTTCCCATCATCTCCCTGCTCGAATCACTGTAATAACTCTCAAGGAAGATGGACGTTTTCTTGGCAGCATCGAGAAGAGAAAGTCAGACCTTTTCACCTCCGACACAAACCGAATCATAACGTAATCTCTTACATTTCGATCTATGAGGAGCAAATCAATGAACTCGATCTTCACACCGCGTCTCATACGCCCTGCTTGCCGGAACCGGAGGAGCCATGCCTGAACACGGGATGAGCACCGGCCGTTTGAGATCGAAGCGAGGAGGAGACATCAATCGTCAACTCTCGTTTGGAAGCCGACATTAGAGGCGAGGAGAAAAAAATCTAGGTTAGACGCGAGGAGAAAAACAGCGGGCCATGAACGCGTGAGGCCCAAGTACGAATCAAGCGAGACCCAATAACAGATTGCATCCGACGTGGACTTTCTTAGGTGTCATCCGACGTGGCACTCCTTAGAGGGAGTGTTGCTTTACTTTATATAATAGATTATCAGCAAGTAATACCAGTAATCTTATGATACGGAGTTAAATATACATCAGCATCAGCACAGCTGAAGAAAAGCAACAAAAATAAAGGAAAAACACATTATATTTTCTTCTATATTAGGTGTTTCTGCATTTATGCAGCGATGCAATTTTAAAATTAAAATTATCTTAATAATAAAATTTTATTATTATTTTAGATTTAATTAATTTTACTACAAATATTTTAATATAAATAATGATTTCCTTAAATATAAAATTAAGATAAAATAAATATCTTGATTGTTTAAATTATAATTAAGAAAAGACATAATATATAAATATTTTAAAATTATAATCTTAAATAGGTTTTCTTTATTTTTTTGATTAAGATATTAAATCAACTTGTATTAACTTTTTATAAAAATTGACATAAACTTTAATAATTATAAATAAAAAAACTAAACAGAATTCTAAATTGAATAAAAATAATGTTAGGATTAAAATTTTATAATTTTTTTTACAAAATTGAATAAAAATTTAAAGATCTTGTTTAGTAATAAAAATTATATGATCAGAAAATAGACTTAAATGATGTTTTTAATTTGTCCAAAAATAATAATACTTTGATATTTGTAAAATATTTATATTTCTATTATTTAATGTCATATTTAAATATATCTATTTTAATAAATATGCTATTAATTATTTTCATATTCTAAAAAGTTTACCGAAAATATAAATCAGTATTAATTGTAATTGTCATATCAAATCTATATATATAAATTAGAGTTTCCCTCTTTTTCCTTAGGCCACGTCACTAATTCGAAATTTGCTGTACTGACACGTGTCCATCGACTTAGAAACAATGCGTTTATTGAGAGTCTACTTGGTTCAGTTGGGCTTTCTTGGTAACTCTGGGCCATAGGGTATCAGCGTCAAGTCAGCATGTTGTTCACACAATACGCTTCTCAAACGCCGGCATCTAAGTGTTAGGGTTCTTCAGAGACTTCGCCATCAGCCGACATGACGAAAGATCGGTTTGGCTCTGCGTGTTCGTCGCCAGTTAA